CAGCGAATCCTTCGGCAGCGGTTCGGCCGTTGGGAGTCGTAAAAAATCGACTCGCTGGGTCCGGCGCTGTCCTTCTGTCCAGCCGGAGAGGAGCTCGCTCTCGATGCCTGCCTGCCTGCCTGCCAGCCGTAAATAAAGCCCCGCAAACATTAATAACTCCCATTGGGTGTGTTAACAAGCAATGACCAAAGTGGGCACCTCCCAGCCCGTTTCGTAGGGTCTGGCTCTGGTTTGTTGTCGCTGCTTTCCCACTCTCTCTCTCTCTCTCTCTCTCTCTCCCCTCTGCGTCTCCCACTCCCTGTGCCTTCTCTTTGTTGCCAATGTGCATAAATTGCAGTAAAAATGGCGCAAAAATTTTACATTTTGTGGCTGAAAAACGATGTGCAACAAAAGGGAACAAAACGAAAATAAGTAACACGGGAAGCACGAAAAATTGCGCATACGCCAGGTGCACAGCCCCCCTCCCAGCACCAACCCCTCCTGTACGACCAGCAGGCAAACATAAAATGGTTGAATGATGAGACCCATGAAACATGGAAATGGAGGATGATAGCAGGGGAGGAGCGGAACCTAGGAAAGAGGGTAATGCATGTAAGACAATCATTTTGACAAGCACTCTACTCTGCCAGTGTTGCCACCGCACTGAGCTGAACTGAGCCCCCACCACGCCCGCCTCTTTGCCACGCGGTGTCTGTGTGGCTACGTTACTCATTGGCCCCGTCGCTTGCCTGGCTGCCTTCTGATTACTATGCACTTTGATACTTATCTTTAATTGAGGTAACATTCTGCATGCAAAAAAAAAAACGGTAAAAAGCGAACAGCAAAAGCTTCAGCTGAACAAAAGCCCTCCCTGTCTTGTCTGCCACGCTCCGCTGGGCACACTTTTCATATCCTCCTACCATCTGTCTGTCTGTGTGTGTCTATCTGTTGGTGTGTGTTTCGGGTGGGCAACGCTTTTGGTTTTGGGCTTAACTTTGAGTGGGTTTCAGTGTTGTATGGGGCACAACAACATCAATTACAGCAGATGTGGCAGATTCCGCTGTTAGATTTGAGCTGCGCAAAGAAACAGTTGCCGGCAAAATGAGCGAAGGATAATCGTGTGTGCATAAACAGCATGGTTCTATATATTTGATATACACAGAGAAGCTACAGCCAAAGGATCGTTGAACAATCAACAAATTAACATCATTTATTCACTCTCCTACTTCTTATAGGCAAAATTACAACCTGAGAGACAGTAACCTGTGCCTGAACTGTCAGTTAGTTAAAGCAAAGCAAAGCAGTAAGCATTTAATCAGCTTTTGGCTATGCGATTTGGCTGCTTGTTGGCTGCTTGTTGGCTGCTCGTTGGCCAACGATTCCAAGCTAAGCTTCTGTCCATTTTCCCAGCGAAGTTGAATTATATTCAATTTAGCTTGGAGTGGGAGCTCAGTGCTTATGCGTCTCTCTGTCCGGCTGTCTGTCTCTTTAAATATGTAACGAGCCAGCTGTGCCCACAGGAGTAGTTCAGCCCAACTTGGTTTCAATTAATCGTTAACCCTTTCAGCCCTGCTCACATCATTGTTGGAGTTGCTGCGGCTGCGGCTGCGGCTGCCCAGCGTTTGCTTTATAAATATTTAAGACCATTAAGCAGACAACGGCAATGGGAGTCCACAGTCCACACAAAAACACACACACAGAGGGAGAGAGAGAGAGAGAGAGAGGTAGAACGGGGGGAGTGGCATGCGTAATCCTGGCCACATTCAAACATGCAGCCAGCAGTAAGCGTTTTATGGCCATTGTTTCCTCGAAGCTTTGAGCCAAGTTCTCCGCCTCTCCCACTCCCCACTCCCCACAACGCTTCTTCTGCGACCAGGGGGCTGTAATCGTTATCGTAATCGTTATCGTGGCTGCCTTACCTGGGTCCATGTTCAGGGGGTGCAATTGTTTTGCCGTTAGTAGCAGCACTGCAGCACTTGTCTGCGGCGGATGCCAAGGCTAATTTTGCGTAAAATGAGAGCAGAGCCCCCCCCACCAACCCAGAGCCGCAGCACTCGAATCATGGCCCACAGGACACGTTGCATGTTGCATATATGCAAATGAACAATGAGTGGAGAGCCACTAACGGGGGAGGTCTGCAGAGAGCCTTTGGGGGGTCTGTGTCCTGGCTCCTGTGGTGGCTCGGGGCCAGTGCACCCGCAATGCGAATCAATCATAAATTGTCAACAGCTCCACAATCCACTTCACGGTGTGCCGGTCCGGCTTTGTTGCCTGACTGTGTCTGTGCCTCTGCCTCTGACTCTGGTTGCCCTCCCCCCCTCTGGGGAATACTAATTGATTTATTGCCCGGAATTAATTCTGTAACCGAAGCATTAATATTTATTGCACAAGTTTCGATTGTGACGCTGTGTGCCCAAGGGCGGTTTTCTGTCTCCATTGGAGCACCTTGACCTTTTAGCGGAAATTTGTCATGAATCCCGCTCTGTCGTCGCCGCTCTGAATAATTCGAATCTCGGCTCAGATTTACCTCGGGGGCGTTTTTTTGATTCACCTTTAAATTGCTTCTATGAATGAGTGAGGTGGCCCCCACCTCGGACAGAGGGCCAGCAGCAGCAGCCACAGCAGCACAAAGGCCATTGCTAACGAGTCCGTACAAACAATCTGCATGGGGGATGGGAGCTGGTGGATGGGTCTTTCGTCAGGTATTTGCAGTTTTATAAAAGCAATATGCATATCGTATGCCCAGCATGCCAATGCTGTAGCTGTAGCTCTGTAGCTGTGTGGCTGTGGCTGGTGCTGGTATTTGCATTCACTTTCCTGCAATGTTGTTTGCCTCCGACTGGGGATGAAACCCATCAAAGGCGCTTGTCGTGCTTCAGGGTTACAGCTTCAGCTCCAGCTTCAGCCCCACTGCATCTTATTTTAAGGTCTCTTTCTCTTGCTCTCTCTCTCTGTGGCAGCCACAAATTCGTTTGGCCAAGCGACATTTTGGCTTGGCTCTGAAAAGAAAAAAAAAATCAAACTGGTTGAGTTCTCCTCGAAATGAGCATTGAGCACGAGTTGAGCGAGAGGTAATGCCATTACTCGAGTAGCTGCCCATTGAATGCATTTTATCCCACCAAAAGTATCCTTCACTCTTTCCCCCCCCGCTCCCTCTTTCGCCCAGTGTGTGTGTGCTGCGGCTTGTGGCATGAATTCTTTTGGCTTTCAGGCTTGCTCGAATGCTGCAAATACTTATTTCAATTATAGGAAGGTTTGTGGTTATTTTCCAGAATTTTTCCCACATGAAATTGTGGGTGGAAACCCAATAGTTTTTATCCAGATTTCCACATATAAATTTCAGTTGAATTTCTAAGCTGTTTTTCCTGTGATTTAATTTTTGTATTTGTTTTTCACACACGCAATATTATTTCAGCTTCAAAATCGTTGACTGCTAAATCGTTCTGCAGATACCCGTTCTCCAATCCTGTTCCCCTCCCCCTCCCCTCATTCATTTTGGTAAATGGCAAAGTTTTATGAACAGCGCCGTTTGGGAGTCAGTTTGGGTTGTTGTTTGTTTTGTTTTTTGGTTTTTTAGTTTTTTGTTTTCGTTTCTGGGATTCCTTTTAGGCGGAAATGAAATGTTTGCAGTTTTACAGTTTTACCATTTTGCCGTTGCTGTTGCCGTTTGGTAAAGGGTTTTGTGCTAAAATCCACACAACCACCCAGCCCCACCCCACCCACTGGTTTGAGTGTGGGCTATAAAAGCTTTCTGCTTTTCTGCCATTCTGCCAAATGCTGACGACGACGAAGTCATAGAAAGTCGTCGTCGTCGCGTCGAGTAATTAGAAAATTAACCCCAACCAGCCGGCCATAAATGAAAATGTAACAACTGCCGCTGCAACGGGAATGGCAATGGGAATGGGTAGGGGGAATGGGAACAACAGAAACAACTAAGGGAACAACAACCAGCAGCAGCAGTACGTACTGCCACTCCACATGGTCCACACTCGGCGAATCAGCCAGCCATGGGCCCGCTCGAGCCAACTCTTCGCGCTCGCGCAGGCTTCGCATTGAATGAAAGACTACAAAAAAAAAACTAAAATATAAGTAGGAAAATTAGTTAGAGGCAACAACGACTGTCAGATGCCCTTCAGTTGCCTATTAAGTTTCTAGAAAATATGCGAAAAAATATCTAATTAAAGTCTAACATTAATTAAAAAATTTTAAAAATTAATAACAATAATAATAAGAAATAAATAATAAATTAAATTAAAAATTTCTTTCTTCCGTCTTTATATATATATATAATATAATATAATATAATATAATATAATATAATATAATATAATATAATATAATATAATATAATATAATATAATATAATATAATATAATATAATATAATATAATATAATATAATATAATATAATATAATATAATATAATATAATATAATATAATATAATATAATATAATTTAATTTAATATTTAATTTAATTTAATATAATATAATATAAAAAAATTAATTAATTAATTAATTATTACAATTTTAATATATATTTCGGTAGATAGCTTAACTTTGTAGAGATTAATTTTGTCACTTTCGGAAGTGCTGCCACAGACAGACAGCCCACAAAACTGCACTATATTAAACATTAGTATTTACCCTACCATTAAAGCAGGGTATCAATTGCACACAGCAACTCTGACCAAGTCCAAGTGCTAGTGCTGGTGGTGTCATCGCTTTAATTAAACAACGTGAAACACGTTAAGGTGCAGCTCAGTTCGGTGGCATTTTCATTTTTTCTGTGGCACATTTCGGCCACACTTAAGCTCAGACAAATGTGGCCGAGTGAGTGGAGGAGTGGAGGGTCCTTGTGGCGTCACCAGCAAGCAAGCAAGCAGGTGCTTGCCACATTAGAGTCAGCCATTTGCTATGACTTGCCACACTATTTTGCTCACACGAACACCAAGCTTCCCCCACATTTATCACTGCTCTCAACACACTCTCTCTCTCTCTATCTCTCTTGCTACTTTGCAGGACTGGCCGTGTGCTACCAGAGGCAATCTGTGAGCAGCAACAACAACAATCACAATCACAATAATGCCGACTCAAAGCCCACACACATGCCGCCATCGCATTATCCGCACGGCCACAAATGGAACGAGCCGTACTTTGATCTGACCATGCCCAGGAACATCACATCGCTGGTGGGCAAGTCCGCATATCTGGGCTGTCGTGTCAAGCATCTGGGCAACAAGACGGTGAGTTGGTGGTCGATGGTCAGTGGTCGACAACGGAGACACTTGCCTGCTGTATTAATAATAATCTTGATTTTTATTTACATTTAATAAACAAAGAGAGATCCGACGGAGTTCCCGGGGTCGGCTGGCTGTGGGTATTTGTGGCCACAAGTGTGGCAAATATGCCACCAAATGTCCACTTAGATGGCAGCCACGAGATAGTAGTCATCTCCGGCAGGATGCTTATTAAATTTGGTGCCAGTTTATTATGTAATACGTGACAACAGCAGACAGCCAGCTGCTGCTGCTGGCCATAACCAACTCCAGCCCTTGGATGGCGGCGTCACTTGATTCGCTTGCCCCAATTAAAGTCTCGTCTTTCAGCAGAACTCCCAGGGCGGCACTTTAAAAACCGCCCGCCAGGCAGCAAAGTGTTGCATTTCAGCAATCAAACTGAAAAGTGGTTGCCATAACAAATGGCAGTGGAGAGGGGCATGTGGCAGTCTGCCTATATCCTGTTTCCATATGCCGCAGCGTCAGAAATACTTTCCACGCACTTGCCAAAAATGTTTCCGCCTAGCAGCTTTGCAGCATGGGAAAGTTTGCAGGTGTTGGCAAGCCGAAACGCTGTGGCAACGTTGATTACGTTAAGCGATTTAGCTCCAGTCATGGCTGAGGCCGGGTCATAGATTTGCACATAGCCAAATCCGCTTCCGCAATCAGTAAACTACACACGGACAGCCCACAGAGGGAGACAGAGAGAGAGAGAGAGAGTGCGGCGCTCGGCCAGCAGTAAATTTATGACCAGACTGGGCACAAGTTTACTTTCGCCTCTTCCTTTTTTTTTTCGGTTCCTTCTCCTTTTTTTTTTGTTGGTGCTGTTATTGCAGAATTAGATAGAGAGACAGACAGATGGAAGGACAGACAGACAGACAGACAGAAGTGGAACTGCACAGATGGATGCCACATGGCAACACACAGTTGGCTGACTCTGACGCAGTGCCACTGCCACTGCCTCTGCCCTCTCGTCGCTGGTGTGGACTGTGTGTGTGTGTGTGTGTGTGTGCTATTGGTTAGACAGTTAGCCGCATAAACAAGGAGCCTCTGAACCAAAACTGGGCACCCCACCCTAAAAAGAAAAGGCAACAGCAAAAGCAATCCAACTCAAAAATTGTGCACAGGCATAAAATGTAGTGAGGGCAATGTCGACTGAATGTCGAAATGAAGAGGCAGCCAGCCCAGCCAACCCAGCCAGCCACTAAGAGAGGAAGGACTCAGTCAGAGTCACGGACCGAGGCATCCCGAGTATCATTTTCCGGGTCTCTCATGCGTTTAGCACACTAATTTCAGCTTGTATGAAACGATTCTAGATTGTGAGCTGCATAAATTTTGCTTGCCCCCCCCCCGCACAACGAGAACAAATTATAAACAACAAAAAAATACAAAATATGGAGACAACTTTTGGCCACGTATTAATGGGATTTTGTTGTTGTTGTTGTTGTTGCTGTTGCTTAGGTGGCCTGGATACGACATCGGGACTTGCACATACTCACGGTGGGCACCTACACCTATACGACGGATCAGCGCTTCCAGACCTCCTATCATCGGGACATCGACGAGTGGACACTGCAGATCAAGTACGCCCAGCAGCGGGATGTGGGCATCTACGAGTGCCAGATATCGACACAGCCAGTGCGCAGCTACTCGGTCAACTTGAACATTGTGGGTGAGTACAGTCGTCCAGTCATACAGTAGTCCATCAAGTCGGACTATACAAATATCCAATGGGGTGTGGAGCTTTCGGGGCTGAGCCTCGATATCTGCTGCATTTTTCAGTTTGGCTTCCGGCAGCGATGCGCTGCGCTACGCTGCGTATGCGTAATATACTGACGAGGATACGTAAAACAATCCATGCCTGTGGCATTGGGTGGTTGGGTTGGGGTTTGGGTTTCCGGTCTGGTCTGGGGTTGTTTGGGGAATTTCTTCTTTTTCTTTTTTTTTGCATATTCATGCAATTTGCAAGAGTGTAAATTATGCAGACTTGGCAATCGTCGAATATACAGGATACAACAACAATAAAAACAAACAAAAAAAACAGGACATGGAGAAATTTTTGAAATGCTTTCGGGTAGATTGATGGACTGAAAAACCGACGAGCGACGAGCCAACTGGCTTAACTCCAGCCCCACAAAAACAGATATTGATATTGACAGGAATACGCGAGTAAAGGTGTGGAGAAAAAATGCCACCAGAAATTCATATGGAAAATACATTTTATGTTTAAGTCCAGCAGTCGAATTTCTATTGAAATTATTTGTATGAGTTGAGTTTGTTTTAAGCTTAAAATAAAAACAGACATTAGACCTGACCTGAAAATACAACACACACAAAAAAGTTCAGCTATCGAGCTGCTAGCATTAATTATAATTATAATGGACGAGAGTGGGCGGGCGAGAGAGAGTTCTACATATATCTGATTTCTATTTCTAACTTTTTAAGTTAATTAAGTTTACCTTTTTCGGTTATAATTTATTCACTGATTTATTCACAGTTTCTATTTTTACATTTCATTTGTTTATTTATTTTTCTTTCCTTTTCGTTTTTATGTGTTGTATTTCTGGTTACCGATTTGGGGCCAGATCTGATTGATGCCGAGACCAGCAGCATGATGCAGCAGTACTACAATGATGACGCCTTCTATATAGCCGCCGATCGGGTGTATCAATCCAGCGATGATGAATTCGCTGGCATGTTTGGGCCCATCCAGACAGTTGCCGGTTTGTTCCTCCAAAGCTCTTACATACGCGTAGTATGGCGCATGCTGACAAAGTCTAACCGCAAGCCAAGCTAACCGATGTAAAAACCGGATGAAGACAGACACCCAGACCACACGATGGAGAAGCGTGAGATGAAGAGATAGAGAGCACGAAGAGAGACAGACAAGTGTGGCATAAAAAGGGTGGTTGGTGGTTGGGGATTGGGGATTGGGGGAAAGTGCTTGAGGGCTGCCATGCATGCATATTATTTTTTAATATTTTACAACATTTTCCGTGCTCAGGTTGTGGGCTAAAGTGAAAGTGAAGGAAGCCACCAGCCGGATTGGTTAGGTGTGGTACTCGGAAAGGCACGAAATGCGACATGGGAAATGGGAAATGGCAAACGGGGGAAAAAAAAAAGGAAAATCATTCGGGCACCGGGAGGAGTTAAGTGCTGCTGCTGCGCCTTGAGCGAACAATTTTCTGGCTCATGACGAACAAATTGCTTTCCGAGCAGCTTTTACCAACTAACTTCTGCCCGCTTGTTACTTGCTACTCCTCTTATTATTTTCCACCACTTTTCGCAGTTTTTCACTGCTTTTGCTCGTTCTGTTTTTTACCTTTTCCTTTTTTTTTTTGTTTTTTGTTTTTGTTTTTTGTGTGAAACTATTTGCCCCACCATTTTGATTGCCCAAGTGGTGGGCACATTTAATTATGCTCAAAGCGCTTGCAATATTTATGCTGCCAGTATTTTTTTTAGTCGTTTTTGGGCAACGTGCTGCAGAGATTGGCGTAGCGGTTGCTCCTGCTGCCACTGGGGCAGCGCTTCCCATTGAAATCGCCCGTCGCGTAGAGGCCCTGGTGGCGCGGGGGCTCCAGATCGTAGTAGCATATCAGCACGAATCGCACATTCCGATTGTCGTAGTGCTGGCCAGCGGCACAGCCCATGTAGGCGGCGCGGTCGTTCATGATGTTGCGTATCGCATGGGGCGCCGCTTCCGCGTGTATGCCCTTCATCAGGTAGACCTCGTGCAGCCACCGTTCCGTGAGACAGGTCACCTGCCGCATATTCGAAAGGAGATGCGTGGGACGCGGCTGTAGGTCGTCGCCGTAGTTGAATATGGGATCCGGAAAATCATCCGTGGCCACACACAGATCGTGCAGCTCACGCAGGCAGCGCTTCAGATGATATTCGGCCACCAGGGCCAGATAGATGTCCCACACCATCTCCGGCATGTGCTGGGCCTTTGGCAGGCCGCTGATTTCACCGCTCGCCACTCTCTGGCGATACATGTTGTGCATCGCCAACAGATACGAGCGGTACATTTCCATGTTGACCAAGCGGCGATCCCGCAGGCAGCTTTCATCGAATTTCTAAGTAATGGAGAAATAAAATAAAGGAATAAACAGAAGAGCTCTTCGAATGCTGCATGCTTACCATGCTGTTGTTGCAGCCCAAATGCGTCATGCCCTGGCATGCCTCAATCTCGCAAAAGTCTATGGCCAGGCAGCATCTTAGCCAGAGCCCGAAACTCAGCAGAACCAACTGCAATGGTTGCATTTCTGTGCCTGAAACCTATTTTGGTTAATGCATCTAAAGCTGCTGCTACAAGTGGTTTTTGTTAGGTGCAACAGATATCAGGAGTTGAGTTTTATGTTCCATGGCAGAAGTTTAAAGGAAATACCAATTACGAAACGAAAATTTACTGTTTTGTGTTTCTTTTCTGTGTGGAAACGGTAATAAACAGATTGCTGAGTGTTGAAAAATTTTACTTGTGAGATTAAGAGTGAGTGAGAATGTGAATGAGAAATACTTGCGGTTAATTACAGAGAGAGAGCAAGATTTCAGAGAGAGAGCAACATACAAGAGCACAAAGTGAATATTCTAATAAGGTGGATTTAAGGTTAATAATACTTAAGCAGACCTGCTTCAGCATGATGAAATTATACTTATCGGGGCTTATTTTACTCAGTACAACAGTTATTGGATGTGGAATGGAATGGAATGGATCACGCATGCAAACAATAACAAACGAAGAGTGCAGAACGTGTGCTATCTCTTTCTAGCGCTGGTCCCTCGCTGCGCTGTGGTGAGGACTTTTTCTTGGCTCTCAGAGAGACACGCGTTAGAAAGAGATAGCAATCACTTTGATTGTTGTTGTTTGCATGCAAACTGACAATCAGATGGTCCTCGAAAGAGAGCGCAAGTGATGAGACAACAGTTGCTTGAAAAGAAACTTAACAGCGTTCTCTCTATTTCGCTAGCTTCTCTCAATTCGTATCCACTGTTAACTCATGCCAGCTCAATCTGATCTCTTCTAGTCCAGAGAGCGAGTGTTCCACTCTTTAACAGCAGAATTTAACGGCGCAATAAAGTGAGACCCAGGCTGCATCAGTTTTATTGATCAACTCTAGACAACTATAAACATCTAACTGCAGAAGCTCATAACTGTCCAAAGGGTATACTGATTCTCCCCTATATATATATACAAACATACATATACAGCCCACCGTTGATTGGCATTTAAATTTAAAAAGTCCCAACGGAGCCGAGCCGAGCCGGACAAATGTTGAACGAATGTTGAGCGATAAAGAGGAATCACAGAAATGTATTGGTACACAGAATGGAAATGCCCAGCCATGTCCCATTTCCCATTATCCTATCCTCCCACCCATGACGGGGCCCGTAATCGATTATTTAACGTAGTGACTTTGACTGGCAGAACATTTCCTCTTCAACTATGAAAATATATTCCCCAGCCAAGTGTTGGGGACTGCAGCTGGAGCTGGGGCTGGAGAGCTGGGGCTATAACGGCAGCCTGGAGCGGCACTTGTCACTGGTCAAATGGAACTCAAACACAGGCTGCTGGGAAAATTCTAGCTCTGCCATGCCATGACATGGCTTGGCAATGGCAGTGGCAATGGCAGTGGGCTAGGTGATGACCATTTCGGAATTTCACAACTCGTCAGAGGCGATAGAGAGAGAGAGAGAGGCTGTGAACGGAGCTGATTAGGCGACGTAACCCCTACTGATTGGCAGAGCTCAAGTGGCAGGACAGGCTTTGCCGTTGGAAAACAGACAGAGAGCAGCGGGGCCAGGGCCAGGGGCAGCAGGATTTTGAGAGGCATAATGAATGGCATAACTGCAAAATGTTCACTAATTTCAATGTATCGTTCTGTTCTCTCCCCCACACACACACACACACACACACACAGTGCCTACAGCCACCATTTTGGGCGGACCCGATCTGTACGTGGACAAGGGCAGCACCATAAATCTCACATGCATCATCAAGTTCAGCCCAGAGCCGCCGACCCATATCTTTTGGTATCACCAGGATAAGGTAAGTACATATCCTCCGCCTTGCCCTGCTCCATCCGCACTCTTCAAATCAATTTACAGGGAAAACGAACGAGCGAACCAACGCACGAAAAAAATAAAACCAATTTAAGGTTTTCCTTTTTGGTGCCAAATTATCTTGCAATAATTGAGTTTTGTGCGCAGTAAAAAGCGCAAGGGCATGGGCAGGAGGGTGGAGTACCAGAGAGTACCGTATCCGGGGAAGGACCCAGCCACGCCCAGCCAATTGCTGGGGGGATAAACGTTTTTAACTTTTATGAGCTTCGAGGGCTGGCGCCTCTCTTCAGGGTGTGGCCCCGGACATGGAGCAGGCTGGCTGGCTGTGGGGGTGCGGGGCTGGAGTGCGAGTGCGAGTTTGTTCGCGTTTGTTTACGCAACGTATTTAATTTTGGCTTTTATGATTATGAGAAAACATGCTTTTGCATTTAGGTTATGTGCCGCACCACCACCCACACCACCCACACCCCCCACTCTGCCAGCACACACACACTTTGAAAATAACTTTTTAACAAGGGAAAATTTTTGGTTTTAATATTCTTCACTCCCCCCAACACCCACACCCCCCATACCCATCGTCCGCAGGTGCTTAGCGAGGAGACTGGCGGAGGACGTCTGAAATTCAAGACCATCAAATCGGAGGAGACCAAATCCATTCTGCTCATTTACGATGCGGACCTACTACACTCGGGGAAGTACTCCTGTTACCCATCCAACTCGGAGATAGCCAGCATACGCGTCCACGTCCTGCAGGGTAAGTGTTTGCTGTTGCTATGCTTTTGGGCCTCTGGGCTGTTTCCGTTTCCGGTTTCAGAGCTCTCTCTCTCGCTCTCTCTCCCAGTGCTGTGACTTTAAGGCCGCCTTAATTCGATGCTAAAGTCTGATAATGTAAATTCTTTATTCATGCATCTGCTTGACCTCGATCTGTATGCATTAAAAGTTGCATCTTTGCGGGCTTTGCTCTCCGCTTCTTTGCTCTGCAGCAAACTTTATGCAATTTATGAACTTGCCACAAAAGCACGACGAGAGAACAGGCCTGTTCGGTGGGATGGGGAGGGGGCGTGGGTCGGCTGCTGACGACTACAAATTGTTACTCATTCAAGTGAATTCCTCTGCTTTTTCGTTCTCTTTGGACAGGCGAGCGCCCGGAGGCCATGCAAACGAACGCGGCGCCGGCTGCCGTCGCTTTGGCCTGTTGGTCCTGCCACACGGCCCAGGCCACTCAGGCGGTCAAAGTAATTAGCACAATGGTCGCGGCATTTGTATTGTTGGAGGCATGCTCCTCGCTGCTGCTCCAGGGCGCTGCTGGTGGACCAGGTGGCGCTGCCGGCGGAGGAGGCCCCACCCGATGTCGTGCCAAGGAGAGACCCGCCACAAGTTGCCGTGCTGGCCAGGAGACGACCATGCCCATGCCCATGCCCATGTCCATTCCGATGAGGACGCCCGGCGGCGGCGGCTGCCCTGTCAATAATGGCAGCAGGAATGCACGGTGATAAATTAATGTCGCCACGTTGGAATTCCACCGCCAATGCAGCAGCCACTGCCACCTAAATGAGGCAGAGCTGCAGCAGAAATGATTTATAGCAGCCACAGACAGGGTTGAGGCAGAAGCAGGGGAAGCAGGGGAAGCAGAAGTTGCAGAAGCAGCTATTTTCTTTTAAGTTTTTCTTCAGAGTTGAGCTGCAAAAAAAAAAACAACAACAAAAAAATGAATTAATTATGCTAATGATGATGAAGATGTTGCAACCGCTGATGCTGCTGCTGCTGCTGCTGCTGCTGCTACTCCTGTGGCCTGCTCCTTCTACCTAAGTTGTAAGTAAGAGTGTGTTTCTAATTAAGTGTGCAAGGATCTAGTTGGCCGAGCAGAAGGGTGTTCTCGGGTGTTAGGGTGTACATAAAACTTCTCACATAAATTGCCAGAGCCCAGGCAAGTAACTTGGCTAAATGGCGAAGGCATTTGGTAACGAATCATCAAATAAGCGAAACTACATAAATTATAATCATATTGATAGCTTATAGAATACCAAAAACACATACTGAATATACTATATACACATATATATATAGAGACATTTGCGTAGTGAAAAGATTTACTCAGATTGTTGTAAATACTAAAGGTATTCCGATTCCGATTCGATTCGATTCGCTTTTGATTTTTTTCTTGTATAGCTTAGACCTTAAGCCGTGTAAATAGTTAGGAATACAATAGCAGTGTAGTACATTATGTACTCGTACAATATTTCGATGTGTGGACTTTGTCAAAGGTTCCTAAACTCCTTTTTCTTTTTTCTTTTTGGAAGAATTTTTTACGTGGCAGAGTTTTCCCTTGGGGGGCATTCTTTTGGCTCTTATTTTTCTTAATAATAATCTATGGGGGACATCAAAATTGTATGAGAAATTCCTGCCAAAAGCTAGCTGCACTTTGAGGCTAACAATTTATTTAAGAGTTTTCCCTGGGCTGAGAAGGATAAGCGGCTGGCAGTTGGGCAGGGACGCTACTACTTTGGTTAGTGCCAGTCATGTGGGGGGGGAAGTTCCTGTTCCCGTTACCAATTCCTGAAATGGGTTTCTTGCCCTCTCTAGCAATATTTAGAGCTTCTACTGGCAGCATGTCCGGTTGCATTCTCTCAGCCAGCCAGCCCCTGGCCGAACGGAACGAACTGCCGACTCACTGCCGAGTAAATATATGTATTTGCATTTCCATTTACCGAACGCTGTTCAGGTTCAGGTCTTGAAGGGGAGTGCAATAGCAGCTCCTAACACGTACGTGTGGCACACATTTAAAAAAAAAAATCCACTAAAGGCCACTGTCACTCATGGCCCGAATTTATTCGATAAAAATTGTAAATAAAAATGCATATACCACTATGAATAAACTATAAACTGTACTCAACTATTTATGTGTGGTAGTCATACAATATATACATATATATGTAGCATATATATACATACATATATATAAATATGTATTTAAATAATGTAAACCGAAACGCATGCAAAATTAGTCGCGACATGTAAATGAATGTTTAATGGGTAAAAATTAATGTTGCTATAAACGGAACAGAGAGAAAATATATACCATAAAAATAATTGCAATTAAGCAAATAAAATAATGTTTAAGTGTAAAACTAGCCCGTAATAAAAACAGAAATACAAACCAAAAAAAAAAAAACAGAAATACAAAAAAACAGAAAAACAAAAACAGAAAAACAGAAATACAAAAAATCAGAAAAAAGAAAACTTTGTTGACCTTTTTGTTGCAAACAAAAAATGGCAACGCATTATAAAGATTATGGAAATTGTTTTTAATTTTTAAGCGGCGTAGTAGCTACGCAACTATGAAAATCGGTATGGAAAATTCAATAAAGATTTTTCGTTTTTGGTTATTACCATCCCAATGATAATACAATGTAATACACACACTGTGCTGCTTCTTCTCTTATTGATGTGATTTTTAGGTTTGGTTTTGGGCTGGAGCTGTAGCTGTAGCTGGTGGGCTTTACGCTGTGATGGCCCTGCCACCCGCTGTGCTGGGAGTCCGGAAAAGATTTATGCAAATATTTTCCATTGCTATTCATGCATTTAGCCAGAGAATTTAAATGGGCTCGACACACAGACAATGGAACGTGAGTGCCTGGCCCACTGGGAGATTGCAAGTTTCTCTCATCTCTCTCTCTGTTCTTTTTGCTTCGTATTTTTTCGGTTGGGGGGGGGGGCCGGCATTTTCCATTTTTCAGCCTAATAAAGCCGCAGTGCAAACGGCAAGAAGAAAAGTGTAAGCCGGGAAACGAATAGAAAGGAATGGCAGGGAATGGGCATTAAGTGCCTGGCAGGATGGCTGTCGGATGGCCTGCCTTTGGCTGCCAGGACTAGGCCATGTGTGCGCTATGCTATCCTGTGGCAGGACTCTGTTTGCCGTTTTGGTAAGACATCAAAAGCCGTTAACATAAAAGTTTATTATATGACAAGTAAGTACATATATTTCTCTCTCTATCGCCATATATATATACATAGTACACATGCATGCATACATATGTTCATGTGTCTCTCTCTCTCTCTCTCTGTCTCTGTCTCGCTCTTTGTCTGTTGGCCAAGTCGAATAACGGTAATATCATGCCAAAAAGTTTAATAGCGCACAACGCGTCACACAGCCCCCAATGCCTCACCTCCTGCTACGCCCATCAAACCGAATTGAGTGGAAAGCGTAAGAAGCGCATAAGGCGCATAAGGCGGCACATGAGCCGGAAAGTTTACCCCCTCCCCCCGCCACGTTCTACCGGAGAGGGAAGGTATTAAATGCGATGATGATGATGATTGGAATACCCGCTTTGTGGGCTCTTTGCAAGATGAATGGACTGCAATGCCACAGAAGATCTGTGTGGGCATCAATGGAGATCAATGGGGAGTGAGGAGTGTTGCAAATAAAAGAGAATGAACTTCCACAATCGCAGGCGGATATGGCATGGCAGCTTTACACAGCGAACCACTCGCGATAAATATCGAGAGCCCAGCTCCAGCATTACCTACTAATTTTCGGACATGCAATTATATACTTCTAATCCAATAAATAAGCAACGGCTTTGCTGGCTAAATTATAGGTTAAATAAAGTTCATTTGGGCACTGGAATCGAACTCTAATTATATTGTAATAAAGCAGAAAAAAAATCAATGGACAACAATGGCTAACTTTCTACGTGGAACGGTGTGGCAAATGGTCTTACTTGACCAACTTGCGATTGCCTTCCTCTTTGTCACAGCCAGTGGTCTGGTACTTGTTCACCTCGGCCTGGTACACTGACCAGAAGTCCTTGGGATCCACATTCTTTTCAGTGGAATCTTTTAGCTTGGGCAACCGCCCAGTCTTCAGGATCTTGCCACCACGACGACGACCCACGAAATGGGGCGGCGGAGCTGAGGCGCCAATGTGTGGAGCGGTGATTTTAATTTGTTCGTTTTGCATTTTCTTGAAAATATCCATGAAAGATCCGTCGTTGGCGAAGTAGGAGCCGCTCGACTCCGGCTTGGCTGGGGGATGCACTTTGACCTCTTTGGACATGGTCGCGCGCAGCTTCTCTAGCTTCTGCTGCGTCTCTCGGTGAATGCGCTCCTTGTCGAACGGCTCGTCCGTGTCTGCGTTGTGACAGTCCCCCACCGCAGACGAGGAATCGGAGGCTGCAACCTTTGACTGGCTCTCCGGGTCATCCTGCTCAGATTCGTTTGTGGGTGGCCGTCGCTGACTGTCGTCTCCAGTAACTGGCGAATCCGAACGACGACTGTGCTTGGTGCGTCTGGAGTAGTGATGGTCGCGCTCCTTGGAACGATCTCTGGGCTTGCTCTCTCTGTGGTAACGCCTCTCGTCACGCCGTTTTCGCTCAGGTGAGCCTTCTTCTGTGGATCTTCTGGAACGATTGCTGCCACAATCTACAGAGGAGCTGCGGCTAGGCTCCCATTTGAGGGAGTCGTGTCCGCGTGTATACAGCACCTGCTGATCACGCATTTCCTGCTCACGTTTAGGATGGCGCCGGGACATTTTGTAGAATCGATCTGGAATACGTTAAGTTTTGCGTTCGTCCACTGTGCCACTCTCTCTCGTATTTGAAATACTTACTAATCCCAAGTAACAAGTTTAATATCAGTTGGCCAGGCTCCAATTCGTTGTCCGGGTTGTTCGTATTTGCTTGAGCGCTTTTTCTCCGAAATGTCAGAGCGACATATTTTCCAACAACTACTTTGTTTTAAGTAGATGCAGGCTCTGGTGTAAAGAGAAGTAAGTGCGCAGCAGAAAATGAGTTAACATTTTCAATAGTGTTGTTCCAGAGGCATGTTAATTTAGCAGCGCGCTAACAGCGAGTGAGATCTACTCCAGAGGTGAGCACGCCGCGGCTCTTTCCTTTATGTTTTTCGTCCAAGACGGTCGTCGCGCGCGTACAATGATCCGTGAAACATTACAAAAACAATGCCACTGTCATTTGGCGTCAAAAAAGCGGAAAAAATGCTCCGAAGCCGCGATCTCGCTACGCACATGCAAATAAAAGCAAAAACAAGCGACGGTGATGGTTTTTTGTTTTGTTTTGTCTGCTCCGTTATGACTCGTGCCCATCACGTATCTACACAACTACATATGAGTGTATGTATATGTATGTACGCTCTTGCTCGGTCACACACTTTCGCTTTCTGAATGGTAGGGAGAGAAAGGCGAGGAGAAACAAATGCCCGAGCTTGCCGGCTTATAGACTATCCTGCAATTGCGCTCACTCGCGCTCTCACAGTGAAAAAAAAACACTCATATCGTGCCGTTGCTTTTGCTTTGCGGAAATAATGCGCTCAACATTTCTCACTCAACTTGTGAGGTATTAAATAATGGAAACAAGTGAGTATTTACATTTTCTTCGTCCCTCCTTTTACCCCTTTTATCATTTATAAGTTTGTTTCTTTCTGATAGTTATTCGTTTTTTAGGTAATAAACAAATAATTTATCTTAATAGGCGGCAGTACAAAACCTTTTCTTTGGCACAAATGTGGCACATAATCTAATGCTCTTTTAGGTTTTATTCGTAGTAGTAGATATATTTTATAAAGAGTCGTATTTTAAATTGTTGTAGCATTTTAAAAATACGTTTTCAAGCTACTGGATAGAGGCAAAAGCGTATCCTGAAAATACTTAAATGTGTGACTGTTTTAGGCATGTTTTAAACGATTTAAATTCGACTTTAACTCAACTTAAGTCTACGAAATGGCTGCTGATATATTCATTCGATGGAACGAGCAAACGAAAGCAAGAATATAAATTACATATTATCCCGACCAGACCGGATCACCTTTATTTGAAGTTCAAGAACCGTCTGAGCCCTCCCTTTGAGACTTGGAGCTTCTGGAAAATTTCAAGCCCGAGAGCAATTGTCGAATATTACCTTTAATGGCGCATTGCTCTGGTGGGTGGGTCACAGCTGACGTCAGATGAAAGCGAGAATGCCCGTGGAATGTGGTACACGGCTGCGTCCGAGCCAGAGCCGCAGCCGGGCAGGGGCAGTGGCAGTGGCAGGGCAATCGAGAAAAGGAATATAAATTATCATCATTGTGACATTTTCATTTGTCAACGTGATTGTCATTGTGTCGCATTCCTTCCACTGCCTAAAAACACCCTACACGCACCCTGTAGACATCCTCGCAGGAAAAACATGATCAAAAAAAAAAACTCTGGCAATTTGGCGAAGAATTTTACTTTTCTTTGACGGGCGAAAAGAAAAAACGCAAACACAGACAGAGCGGGAATGACACGTTTCGCTTTTATTGGGCATGCCAGGACCTACCTGGCTGCCGTTATGTTCGGGTACATTTTTAATGTAAAAATATGATTTGATTTTATTCCTCCGCTTCGACTCACATTTATTCGTTTGTAGCCGGAGTGCACTGCAATTTATGTATATTTCTCTGGTTCTCTGTCCCGAGTACTCTACCCGTATGATTTTCTCATATTGAACATAAATCACTTGTCTAAGGCTTCAAATGCAAAATAAACAACACCAGAACACGTGTATGTGTTTGTGTGGACTTGTATCTGTGTGTAAATCCAGTACATAATTTATTGACATGACTGTGAAGCCAAAGCCGCGTCAGGTATTGCCAAATTCTGTCCTCCAGCTGCCAAATGGAATACTGTACATTATGTTACTGATTTTAACTCCTTCATCCCAACTCCCCACCATCCCCAATCCACCCATCCCACCCTACATTTTACGCTGTCACAGTTACCCTCTGTGTCACATTTCTCTCTTCCGTTGCGTGTTTGTGACGTTGTCAAAGCGAATACCAAAGGCGCCGCTCTGATGGACAATTTAAATGGCAGCAAAGTGAGTTGTGAAATGCATTCCAATGATGCATTTCCTATTTATTGGGTACGGTCTTAAGTATGCGCTTGTTGAGTGTTAGTAAGTAGATTAAAAAGAGCGACATATTAGACTGAAACTTCTGAAGCAGACTCCCAAGTAATTCTAAGTAATCGCTTCCCTGAGCAGTGTGGAGCGGGGAGCGTGGCAATCTTTTATACCTAATCTCTTCGTCCCCAGGCTCCACATAAACAGTTGTAACTCTTATTTAATTAATTAATTATTGTATATTTTCCCGGTTATTTTCCCCCCTAGCCGCCCAACCCCCTAATTATATACATAGCTCTCGTACAGCGTGAAATATAATTAAGTATGTATAATAATTTCCGGATTTCTCATATACCCGCAAAAGGCAGCAACAAAATTTATTTGCTTTATTGTTTACAGATGTAATGAAATTTCTGCGGTTACTCATGCTATTCACGGGGTAGTCGGTAGCCAGGGGAAATATGGTGGCGCAGATGGGTGTTATCTTAGCGCCAGTTTTACAACCAAATTTCCCATTTTGGCCTTTAAAAATAGCAAATTAATTATATTTCACGCCAAAAAAACAGAGCAGCAAACAGAAAATTTTTGTGTACTCTGGGCTCATAATTGAATTTTCCTCTGGTGCGTAAGGGTGGAGGAGGGTGGTTCGAGTGCATTTGCATGTGTGTGTGTGTGTGTGGTTTGAGGTTAGGGAAGTAATACGGCTTTGATTATGAAATCGCTTTAAGCGGGCTGCGTTGTGTGTGTTTTTTTTTGGTTGTTTTGTTTTTCTTTTAAGAGGATATTACGAAAAGTTCATATATATTATTATTACCTATTTTTTCCGGTAAATATTCTTCAAGAGTAGTGTTGATAAAGCCACAAATCGGATCACTATATCATTTGCAAATGCAGCTATCTATCTACCATAGAAACATTGGATCTAAATATATATAAAATGCTTCTAGGACCAAAGCCATTCCTATATTCCTACTCCTATAGCTCAACCTATACGGTTGGAAAAACCCTGTGTCCAGTGATCCCATGTGGGTGAGTGGGGGGTGGAGAACACGAAACCCTTTTAGCTGACAATTGCCTTCTGGCTATGTGTCGCATTGTTGTGTTGTTTTGTTGGTGCCTGTCTTCATAAATGAATAACCAAGCCCGACAAATTTGTTGCTCACTTTTTGCACACTTTGTGCTGTCATTTTTGTGGTCAAACACTCCTACTTCATATCTGCTACCCCTAACCTACTGCCGCCCTGCCGCCCTGCCGCACCACTAGCCCGCTGCTCTAGTCCTGCCCCTAATGCAATTTGTCATTTTCAATTTTTGCTCCTCTGCCTGGCCTTTGTCTCAAATGGAATTTTTGGCATTTCGTTCACATAAATTAGGCCTGACTGTCGGTCTGTCTGTCCGTCTGTCTGTCTGTCCTTTGTTGGTGTCTCTCTTGTTATTCTGTTATTTGTTCTTGTTTCTGTTGCAAGAGTTACTATTGCACTCAAATTGCTGTGTAAATAATTATTTTTCCAATTTCGTTTAGAGATGCAAATTGTTTATTTGTGCAGAAATTCTAGCTACAAAAATTGTGAATCCTGTGTATCCAGCACTTAGATTACCGTCAACTAAAATTGTTGTCTGATCATGAGTGCCACAATTTAAGTGGATTTTGTAGGCGAGTGTCGTTACTAATAAACTTTACTTGACCTCAAATGCAATCACTGGGGTTCTCTGGCTGCAACTCTCCCAATATGAGTGATGAGCGTTTGAAATTACTGAATTTCTTTGACTTTCTTCGAAGCAAATTTCAAACAAAGATGTCAGGAACATTTTTGCGACCAAAACTTTACAGAACTTAGATTAAAACTTGGATACCAAAACTTGTCACCAAACTTGCATAAAATATTCATATATTCGTGTAAAATTTTATAACGTTCCCATCACAATGTTAATCAATGGATTAAACGAGATTTCCAAGCCTGCAACTATATATTTTTTGTGCCCCATTTGTAAGCTTTTAAATTCAGAAAGGGAATTCTACCTCTGCCCCTTGTGTGGCATGCATTTAATGCTATTTAAGCTGGACTCTGTGCAGGTTTACCCACTCGTCCAGGGCCCTGGACAGTATCCAATTTCTGGGCACTTAACTGAAATACATTTTTATGGACATTCTCTGGTAGTGGTGCGCTATGGAGGAAGAAGAGTAGTGGAGGCACTGTGGGGGTGGCAGAGGTGAGTTCCCTCCCCTTTGTAATTTTGTTCGTGTTTTATTGCAAACTCTCTCGCGTTGCGACATTTCGCACATCCTCGTGACTGCATAATTTTGCTGTATGGCCATGCTGAAATGTGCTCATCTTTCGTTTGTATTTTGCATGATTTACTCAGATTTCATTACGCCATCTCTTTCAGTGTCTCTCTATGTCCCCACCCCTCCCTTTCGCTATCCAGCGCTCTATCCTCTTTGCCTCAGTGCGAGACAGCCATCTTCAGCGTGTGTGTGTGTGTGTGTGTGTGCCGACTGCTTTTGTAGTTTTATCACACACTTGACCCATAAATCAAACATGTGTAAATGTTTTCACTTTATATGCGCACTAGTACACACACACACACACACACAGCAGATACTTTGGACTCCTCTCTCCTCTGCATATACCCGAGACTCTATGCATAAAGTATAGATTGAGTAGAGCAAGGTCCTCGCAGCTTCTCGGTCCTGCTCCGGTACTCGTCCTCCGGTTCGTGCGTGTAAACGAAGTAGAAAAGCGTGTAAAATATATGCCGCAAATAGCCCAACTCCTTGTCATACCCATTCTCACCCATCGTCTGCCTCCTGCCTCCTGTCGCTGTGCTGTGCTGCCGTCTGTCCCCAGAGT